TCTTTCATTGAATAGTAATTTTTATAGTATATAACAGCAAATTACCTCTCCACCAGCTGTAAAGTCTTTGCATCCAGTGTGCAGAGTAAGAGTGTTTATGCTGAGGTGGAATATTTGACCTTTTTCACTGTTCTCTGTTACCTCATGGCTGATGTCTGTGGTCCTTTGACAGTGTGTAACAGTTGACTCCTGTTCAACAGAAAACATCAAGCCACCCTGTGCAGATGCCCAGCCCTTGAAAGGGGAGGGAGCTAAGACACCAAGGCCAAACTCTGTATCACTTCAAGAAACACCTTCCAGGATAGTGACTCCTGCAAGAATTCCTGGGAATGAATTGGTCAGTTGTTCACAATCAGCGAAGACAGAGAGAAGGCAAGTTTCTCCATTTTTCTTTCCTATGTTCCAGGATCACTATAGATGGACAAAGAGATTCTGAGCATTTTGCCTGGGATGACATTCTTCTGAAAATTCATCAAAGCTGATTCTGTTAGTAATTAATGCCTTTTAACAAGCTTGTCTTGATATTTTTGACCTGTATCTTTATAACTTGCAGAATCCATGTTTCTTTTTCTATACATGGATGCAGCTTAAGCTTTTCTGAATAATATCTCTTCCATTTCTTATAGCTGCCTTTATCCTGCCTTTTAGGGATACATTTTCTTTAGTAATTTCTTAATTCTTTTTACCAACACAAAACCTTTCAACCATGTCCTCAAAGCTGATGGTTTGTCAGAGTGCTGCAATATTTGAGTTGTCATCCTAGTGGAATATCTACTTCTCCTGACTGAATTCCTGGGGATTCCCAGAACATCTTTGCTACATTTCTGAAAATAGACCTTTATTGTGAATTATGTTGGGACTGTTCATATATCGATCAAGTTTTGGTATAACTGACTCACTGTGTCACAAATACCTGAGCCACCCTCTTTTCCAACTTAGGAGTCCTCTGAATCTAGTTTAGTGAATTAATGAAATAACTGCAGAACTACTGCAGCAGCTCTGCTTCCCCCTGAGGAGGAAGAAGACAGCATAAGTGTGTGTGCCTTGCTGGCCTGGTGAAGGCAAGTGAGTGAAAAGAACCAGGAGAAGTTTATGCCAGTGGTAGCATCCCTGAGATGATACTGTATTTCAGTAAACTGCTTGTTATGGCTTTTCTTGCAGGCTCAGGGTGTGCTCAGTGCCTGGCTGTTTCCTGCAAGATCTCTCAAATCCAGCTTCCCACTACATGAAGTATTTCAAGAAGAACAAAGAGGAGCTGACACAGAAGCTCTACAGTCTGTACAACAGCACCATCTTTGAGCAGCAGGTTGGCTTCAAAACAAACTGCAATTCTAAAATGCTGGTTAATATCTTGCTCTTTGCTTTTTTATGTGCTTGATGCTTTATGTGCTTTATGTCCTCTCCAGTTAGTAGAAGTTAAGCTTTATGGCAATGGCTCATGTTTGATTTAGTTCAAGCAATTTCTTTAAAAGGGATTTGTCACCACTGAGGTGCAGCTGCTGTCAGCTTGGCTGGCTCTCCAGCTGTTCCTGTGCTCCATTCCTAAGTGAGCAGGATCTGGATGGTGTCATAGGAGTCCTTGATGAGGAAAACTGCTACAGGAGGGGCTTGGGATCTGTTTTATCCTTGAAGAGGTGACTGGTATTTATCTTCTTGTACTTTCTAGCACCTGCTGCACCAAAAGCCTGGGAATGTTCCTCTTGCTGCCCCAGCACAGGCAGCCATGGCCTTTCTGCTGCTCGAAGAAGCTCAGGGTTACCCAGCACTGTTGCTGCTTCTAGCACGTTCCAGTGAGCCCTGCAGCATTACCACAGCCTAGCAGCTGGCTGTAGCACAGCTTGCTTGTCTGCAGCTGACAAAAGGCAGGGATGCACACTGAGGAGCAGGGAGCTGATGGATAAAAGCACTTCCCTTTGACTCACAGGGCCTGTTGCCTCATGCCTGGTCACACTCCATGCAATCTCCGTTTGTTCCTATTGCATGTTCATCTCTGCCATTTTGGAACAGATTAAAAAGCTGCTTATCCCTTGAATGACAGTTTTGGCTGAACCTAAAGCTATAAACTGTGTTTCAAATTGAAGGTTCATTTTCAGAGAACTGCTGTCTTGACCTTCACATCATCTTAGATACTGGAGATCTTCCTCTGATGAGAAAAGTCCTTGACAAGACATATGTCACCCTCAGTAATTCCAGTAGCATTTCCTTCAGGAAGGAAAATATTTCTGTGCAGATGAGAAAATACTGTTGAGCTGTCCAAGGCTGGGCTGAGGTAATGATTTCACATAAAGCTGAACGAAACAGGCTCAGTATTGCTGAAGGCAAAATATCTTGCTCTCCAGTGCTTCAGCCTTGTACCTGTGCTGGCACTTACTACTGCTGGAGCATTTACTTAAGCTCATTAACTAATCTAGGTGACAGAAAACTCTTAGTAAAAGAGCAGAGCTAACCAAAATAGATATACTTGAGGGCTTGTATCATCAGGAGCAACACAGAGGATAAGCAAGGGGTGATTATTTACCCTCTCACAGTGTGAAGGTGCATCAGATTAAAATAGCAAGCCAAACAACCAAAGCAGATGGTACCTGTACATTATTAAACTGTACAACTTCTGATCACAGACTATTCTTAAAAATACACACACACACAGCCTTCCCAAAACACCAGAAAACAACTGTAAGGGCTATTTAATGCACAGGAACCAGCTGTGGCTCAGTCAGGTGTTGTCTTGCAAATTATGAGCTGTTGGGAAGGGAACTGTTTTTGAGGAGGAAATTCTGTTTTATGTTTGACCTGTCTTTGTATTTCCTCTTAAGCAGCAGTGTTAGCCACTGTTGGCAGGATGGAGGAACTAAGGGACTTTTTTTGTCTCATCCTGTACTGTGGAAATCCTAGTATTGGTTACAGAAAAACTAATGGGAATAAGAAACAATGGAAGGTCAGGATGCATCCTAAGTGAGAGCCACATTAAGGACACTGGCAGAGACATCCTGTGCTGGCTTTGCAGTAAATGTAAGGGGAAGACAGAGAGGTAAGAGAGGGCAGATTATATGTACGGTTTTGTTTTTCAGTTACCAGAGAAGATGGCAATAATCTGGAATAAGAAAATGAGAAAAACAGCAGGATATTGTGTGACTGGGCAGACAGCAGGTCCTGAAGCAAAGCGTTATGCTCGCATAGAACTTTCTGAGAAGGTCTGTGACTCTGCAGGTAGGTACAAGATCCATGATTCTTTTTTTGAGAAGGCAAGTCCCAGAGATAAAAACATGAATCTGAGGCCAAAAGAGATCTGGAACTGGACCCTGCTTTGAAATTTCATATTACCTTGAATAAATAAATCCATTCATGATAGTTGTCCTCACAGCCCTTCTAAGAGGCTGGGCCTCTTGTATATAAGATATAAGAACAGAGATATGTTTATGTACTGTAATTGCAAGCTAAAATCTGACTTCTTCCATCATAGTTAGTCATCTTGTTGGCAGTATTTAAAGCTGGAATAAAGAGAGATCAATGTGAAATTAAGTTTTGTTGTGTGGTGGGTACTCTAATTATTTCTCTCTCATTCCCTCTCAGTTTGGAGAAATGAATGTTTCTGTTATTATAGGACAATCAGTTCTGTAATTAACACAATATTTTGAAATAAGCTTAATAAATTTGATTTGAGAGGTACAAGAGAGTACCCTGGGACACTGAAATTGTCATGGATCAGCTTTGTCAACTGAATGTTTGTAGGTCTGTGGGGCCTGATGGGATTCACACCAGAGTACTGAAGGTTTAAATAAGTGGTTTCAAAAAAAAAATAATCCCAACGCCCAAACAAACAAAAGAATCCGAACAGATTAGGCTGCAGGGAAGTAACTAGGGTAGAGAATTAGGATTAATCACAAAACTGGAAATGCACTGAGTAAAACCTTTAGAGACTTTTGCCTTGTCAAAACATTGGTAATTCTAACCTCCAAAATAACTCTTGCACCTGATGGAAGAACAAGTGTCAAAGGGCTGAAGCAGTGACCAAGGATGAAACTCTGTACTTTTCCATCCCTGACTGGTTGGTCTTGATGATCTTCAAGGTCCTTTCCAACCAGGATGATTCTACTATGACTGATATTAATGTCTTTTGTTTGTCTTACTCCCAGATCGTCTTCGAGACACGCTGATCCATGAGGCTTGCCATGCAGCCACCTGGCTGATCCATGGTGTTCGTGATGGACATGGACAGTTCTGGAGGTTCTATGCCGATAAATCAGCTGTGATTCACCCAGAGCTACCAGTAGTAACACGGTGCCACAACTATGAGATTAATTACAAATTCACCTACATGTGTGTTCTCTGCAAAGCCAGGTGAGTGACATTTTGATCCTGTGTATGTATAAACTTTGCTTTTAACTTGGCAATTTCCTCTCTCTAGAAATGTTGAACTGTGAAGCAATTGGGATACTCTCAGAGTTGTCACTTGACATTTCTTGAGCTCACAGAACCTCACAGTGTGGTTCCACATTTGTTTCCAATTCAGAGGTCAGGACAGGCAGAAGTGTCTGATGCTTCAGTCAGTACTAACTGGAATTCAAAAGCAGAACAAGTTCCCATAAAAAATGGGCACAAAATGCATGACAGTAATTGGATATTAGAACAAAGTATTAGAGGAAGCTTTCTGGGTTTTATATCTTGATGACTTTAAGACTAAACACTTTGACTCATGGTGTACCTTTGTTATGGTTGTGCTAAGAAAATGTAGAGACCAACAATATAATGATCTTTATTGGTTTCAAACTAAAAACTTGAAGTCAGTTTCCTAGTTAATTTCTTACCTCATGGACTGTTTCAGCCCATATATATTTAGAGGAGGATGGTGACTGACCACAGGCTGCTGTATTAATGACCCTAGTCACAGTTCAGCTCTGTGTGGCCCAGGAAAGTGGCTGACAATGGTGTGGTACTCATTTTTATTTTAAAACTTTCCCATATGTGCTTTCCAAGCATGCATGGAGTTGTTTTTCTCAGGATCATATGTGCCACTTCCAGAAGCCCTGGGAGGAAACAGTGTTTCCCACATGAAAGGACCTTCTTGAAGTGTTGAGTATGGCTGTGCAACACATTAGTTGCAACAGAGCATTGGGAAGAATGGGTGGTGATGGGTTTGAGGGGAAACTCCAGGGGGTGACCGATAGGTGGGGTTGTGGAGATGTTGTGAAGCGTTGTAGCACTTCATACTGGGCTGGGAGTAAAAGAGAGGGAGAAGGTGCTGGAAGAAAAGCAGAGAAACGTGTAATACAGATTTCATTGTTCCAGTGTGTGAAGGAAGTAGTCTGTGGCCTGTTCTAACATGCTAGCTCAGAAATCTGGCCTAAGGAGCCTGGCAGAAGAGAGAGGAGCCCTTTCTCACAAGCCCTGTGCTGTGAGTGTGCAATCAAATTACTTTTTCCCCCCCCTCTCAGGATTGGGCGCCATTCCAAGTCTCTGGACACGGACCGCTTCGTGTGTGCATTCTGTGGGGGGCAGCTGGTCCTGAGCCAACCTGCTGGGAAGGATGGCACTCCTGCCAGGACACACCTCACCCCCTTTGCAAAGTATGTGAAAGAGAACTATGGCCTTGCTAAAAGGGAGCAGCAGGAGCTGGGCCACGCAGACTTGATGCGGAAGCTCAGCGCTGATTTTGCTTTAAAAACGAGGCTTCAGGACTCCCTCCAACAGCTCAGTACATCTCCTTGATGCCACTTACCTTTTGTATGTAGCAGTAAATGAGCCTAATCCAAGTGTGTTTCAGAGAATTCCAGATAATGTTAATATTTTAGCATTAAAGGCTTCTAATAAGGAAGACCTTAAGGCCCTTTCTAAGAAGGGCAAGTGTGAGTACTTGAATTTTTGATTGCAGATCTGCCTCTATCTGAGATTTCAGAGAAGCTAAACACAGGCTGAAGATTAGGCTGGGGAAAGCAAACACTTTCCACCATGGAACAAGAATGTGACTGAAGTCTTTAATTTAGAACATGACTGAATATGTGTGACAGTGTTTGTGTCTGCTGGGAACAAATTGCTTAGAGGATTAGTAATTTTGAATAATCAATAAATGTTAATTTCATACCAGCTGTGACAATGAACCAGGCTTCTTTGTTTCCCTGTAACTGTGGCTGTGCAGGGTCAGTAGTGGAAGCTGTTGATCCCTCCTAGCTAGTTTGGAGTTTCACACACAGCAGGTCACCCTGCTTGCTGTTGGGTGTTTGGTGTTTTTCCATATCAGTGCAGAAAGACTGAAAAGCAAAGTGTAACAAAGCAAACTGGCCAAGAGGGTTCCAGATCTGAGAGCAATTTACAGCTCTAATCACTACTGGCTGTTCACTGGAAATGGAATGCTTCCCTCTTTGCCATGTTCATTATCCCAAAGCAACAGCCAAGGTAATGAGCTGTCAGGAATGTCACACCCTCCACTGCATTGATACAGGCAGCTCATGTTCATCTACCTGAGTGTGTAAGGATTTAATTTGAACCAAGGAGCTGAAACAGAGGATTTAAGTTTGTCTTTGCTTCCTTTGCTCACCTGAGCCTTGATGGAACAGAATGTAACAGCTGCATATGATGGGGGACACTGAAATGCAACAGCAAGAACATTTAAAGGATTAGCTCAACAACAGGTATTTTGTTCCATTTCAATCTAATGAACTTTCTGCAATTAATTTCAGCGTGTAAGACTGACAGGCTTGCACATCTGTCAGCTCTTCCCAGCTTCATAACCCTCTCACCTCTGGGAAGGACCCACACTCCTCCCACTGACCCAGCAGCATCAGTCCAGTTTCTAGAGCAGCTCAGTGCTGGGCATGTGACAGCAGCACATGAAGGAAGAGATTACAGACTGTGTCCAAACAATACTGGCACTCTGCAGCAGCCATTTCATTTTACTCCAAACAGCTCTGCCTTTGGAATTCTTTATTTGGTTTGAAGGATGCTGAGCACAACTCCTCTGTCAAACTTCTTCCAGGTCACTTCCCCCACACCTCTTTCCTGCCTGGGTGGAGAACCAGCAATCCAGAACATTACTAGAAATAAGATCAGAGACAACTGAAGCTACTAAAAGAAGGCAGAAGCTGGCAGTATCATTCCTGGGACACACTTTTCCGTTCTAACCTTCCTCTTCTAGGCTCCTTGAATATATGCAAAGCAGTGAGACTTCTGTCAAACACAGAGGGGGAAATCACATTTTCCCTGGGTCTGTGCCCTCCAGAATAGTCTCTTCAGGTGCTGCCCGACCCCACCACTGAGCTAGAAGTGCACTGCATCATGCAACACCTGGAGAGAGGCCACTGCTTCCCATCCAGCTGAGGCAGATCAACCCTTCTCCTGTGGAAGTGCTCCTTGCTGCATGGGACAGGAGAAGAGGCACAGCTGGTATCTGCACTGTAAGGCAATGTGGGGCCACCCTTCAGCCAGGAGGTCTTGTGGAGGGGGTTTTTTCATGTCTTTTCTGAAGGGTCTGCATTTCCTCCTTCACTCTAAAGCAGCCAGTTCCTCCAGAAGCTGCTCCTTCTCCTGCTGCAGCTCCTGCACTCTCTGCTTGTTCTGCTCCAGTCTGTCTTCCAGCCACTGGAGCAGTGGCCCACTGATGGCAGACATCTGGCTGCAGAGGTTCTTTGTGAACACTGCAAAGAGCAAGAACACACCATGGCAGCGCAAACACACACAGACCCTGCCTGCTGCACCACCACCAAAGCCCAGAGCAAGGACAGCCAAGGAAACCAGCCATCCCCATAGGAAAGTTAGAATGAGCAGCTTGCTGAACAGGGAAATGAGCTCTTTCCACCTGACCTTTAGATACCCTGGGGAGGGATGACAGACCCACAGCAGAGACCTGGAACTCTGCATACAAGTCATCAATGATGCTAATTGATTTCTAAATTCAGAGTGAAGAATGCCTCATTTATTGAACAGGTGAGAAGGGACCATGGGGAACCATCTTGGAACAGAAGCAGGATTAGGATTGAACCTCAATGGCCAAGGCAAAGATGTCCTGGGCAGACAACGTGCAGAGGTGCCAGGAGATGCAACATGGGTACAGAGCAGCCAGACATTCCTTTAACACTCACCAAATACAAAATCCCCTTGATGTTTCAACAGCCAAAAACTGTCACTTACTGGAATGTCAACCAACTGTACACAGGTCAAAAGATACAACAGCAACTGAACCCCAGGATTAGGTTGTTTTACAGCCCTTTTGTCCTTTCAAGTGTTGTTACAATTTGGTTCCTCCACTATACTTTAAGTACCAAGGTAACAGTCTCTAGGAGTTCCCTGGAATGTGACTCCATGTTTGTGATTGGAAATTAACTTTATGGCAAAGAAAAAGATAAAACTTTGTGCTTCTGTAGTTTTTTACAAGTGCCTTTTATGGCAGAGGGAGGACTGCTACCCAGTTGTACTCTGCTGTTCCCCTAGGTGAGCACCAACCCAAGCCCTGCTTAAGAATCTACTGTTCAGGCTCTGGGAGCAGCACCCTGGGTTCTTGCATGCAAAGAAGGAATCCTTACCTGAGCCATTATGGATCTTGGTGACGGAGTCAAGATGGGTGAGGCTGAGAGAATAAACAGAGAGCAGGTTAGTGACAAGGGAGCAGAGCATGTCAGTTAAGGCAGAGCCAGGCTGTAGAACCAGCCACCACCCATCCCTAACACTGCAGACACATCTCAACTGCTTCACTTGCTGAAGCCCTGAACATTCACAAGGATAACAAGGATCTTGCAGCACAGAACCAGCAGTTTTGAGCCCCAGAGGCAGAAAAACACAAAAAAGCTGATAAACAATTTTATTTTTCAGACTAGTCAGCAGCATTACCCTGGTTCAACGCTAGTCACTGTCACACACGCGTCACTGAAGTGCCACCATCGGCTCACACATGCTCCAGCTGGTTTTTGTTGGAGAAAAAAAGCAGTTATGCTGAGCTCTTTTGTGCAAGGCTGAGAGGTCCTGAACTCCTTCACTTGAAGGTGTGAAATCTGCTCTTGTACAAAGGCTCAGGAGCTGCTAATGCTTCTTACTATCTTCTGCTAAGGTTGTGGTACCATAAAAACAGCAACAGCAGAAGGCATGAGCAAAGACAGTGCTGACAAAGGCTGCAGCCCCAGGGCTGTTACCTGTGAATTCTCCTGTAGGCATCTTGCTCTTCTTGGCAAAGGATCTTGGGCAGCTCTACAGCTGACTCTAGACACACTTTCCCAATGGTTTCATGGGGGACAACATGAATAGGAATTTCAATCCTCTCATACCTAAAAGGGCATCAGATACAATTAACTTCAAAGCAGCAGATAAAGAAAAATTTAAAAAAAAACAGAATGAAAAACTGCTACAAACCTGCCCCTGTCTGTCCAACACGTGGCACTGCTGCAGGTTTGCTTTTGGGAACATGTGCCTGAGTTGATAAGCAAATGGAGGCCCCTCAGAGCCACCTCCTTGTCTTAATGATAAAGTCCCTGTACTGAGAACACTGCACAGCATGGGTGGGGTTGGTGGGGACAAGACACCTGGCAAGCCTGAAGCTTGATGAGAGCAAAGGGCCTTCTACAGAAAGGGCTACAGCACAAATTCACACCTGGACTCCAGTGTCCTACACCAAATATTAAGCTACTCAATTATCTAGGCTAAATTAATCAGCCCTAATCTTTAGATTCTCTTCCAACAGCCTATGTTAGCATAAGTAAGGAGACCTCCTTCAGAAACCTTTACACAGTATTTGCTCCTCATGATGAGCCTAGAAGCCACTTGAGACAACCCAGAAAAATGAGATGAAACACAACCTGACACTGGACAGAATATTCTGCTGTACTCACTCTGAGCTCTTCTGGGCCTGAATGGACTGGAAACAGGTGTAGAGAATCCTGCCTGTCTAAGAGAGACAGCAGAAAGTCAGATTCCAAGAAGAAACAAATCATCTAAACCCACCCATTATTTTAGATGACAGGATGTGCTTTCAAATGGCACCTGAACAGGTTGCTCTTCACTTTGGTTGCTGTGCTGGAGCCGTTTACAATACAGACATTTCTGTGCACACACACATACTCTGCAGCCTTCCCAGAGCCAGCACAGCCCTGCTGGTAGAAAGCCAGGCTGTGGATCAGCACAGAGTAATACAGAATTTGTTATTTTATCATTGGCATTAAAATCCAATCAGCATCATTCTGGCCCTGCTTTGCCTGTACTCCAAGCAGAGCTCAAGCCTCCCTGCAGGGCTGCTGCAAGGATTTCAGGCTTGGGGGCTCATGTTTTTCATGGGTGCTTGGAGGTTTTATTGCCATTTTCAAGTTGCCTACCTTTGTGTTTTTGTCCTCAATGAAGCAGGAGAAGATGAGCCCAACAAAACCTTGGTCCATCATCTGATACATGGCTTGTGTGCGGACATCTGTGGACACAGGAGTTAAGAGAATGAGAACTGGCCTGGTCACCTGAAGGAGAGGAAGAAGACCTGCCACCTTTTGCAGGGTGACCTGGAATTTGGTGACACATGTCACAAAGCTTTATTATAAAGTACTTACTCCAGGTGACTAAAGTAAAAAAGTAATTAAGTAGCAAATCTTAAGAATAGGTGACAGGAAAGGGCCCTGGCAGCAGCCTGGTGCCACAGGACACCACGTAGCCGTGATGTCCAACATGTCTAATCTTGGCATTTTTTTCAAAAATTTTCATTTTTGCATGAACATTCCCAGATGTCAAAATCCATCCCAGCAGGCCTATGATTCCTGTAGCTGGTTTGCTATATTCTAGGTCTAGTTCTCCTGTCTGGAAGAACAGCAGGGCTGGCAGTTGCTGATCTGTGACTGGAGACATGTGCAGCTGGAGCAACTGAAGCCCACCCAGACAACCCTGTCCTGCCAGAGGACAGAAAAGGATAAACTCAGGATATGCAGCTCTGAAAATCCAGTAAATTGACTAATACAAGGAGCCAGCTGTGAGTTTTCACACGGAACTTAGACCAAGACTTACCAACATGTGAGGGCCAGACAGTGATGTGAGGGTGGGAGTGATACCAGCCCACCACCCTCATGGGGCGTCCTGTCATCTCAGCCAATCTGTGTGGGAGTCAAGGTGCCTTCTGAAACCAGCAGAGCAAACTGAAGGAGTTTTTTATACAAGGAAGAACAGCAGAGTTTTAAAAGAGTTTCTCATCAGTCAGCAGAATTCCAGGTTCCTTTCCAGAGTGATAAGACACATGGTAGGAAGCTGAAGGAAGCCTCTTCCAAGCTCCTGCTGCAGAAGCAAACAACATGGCAGCAAAGTGTCCAAAACAGCATCCTGGAGTTTATGGATCTAAAGGGCTCTCCAGGACACCAGGCCTGGAAACA